CACGCAAAATTGGATCTTGATAAATCCGGCCCTTTGTTAGCCTACACTGGATCAGCTTCAATGTACCAGTTATTAGCTGCTTTATTTTTCACAGGAGTCATACCATTTGATGACCACTGATTATTTCAGTCCTGATTTTAGAGAAATGCTTCATGTCTTTCATTGTTTATTTTAGCTGCTTTGACAAGGTTCATGGAGGCTGATGTATCCCCTCCTTTCAGAAAGAATAAAATATGACTCCTCAACTTCCATTGTAGATCTCACATGCCTTAGAGGGAGGCACCAGCCTGTCATTAGTAATTAATTCAATTCACTATTCAGTGGAAGTAAATCTTACAATTATGATCAAATTTTGTCTTGACACTCAGTTCTTTAATTTGATAGGAGATTTCCCCAGAGAGTCTGCATCGAAGAAGAGACATATTTAAGTATTAACTGAATTTATTCAATTTATGTTTATTAAAATAATTTATATAAACACAAATTAGAGAACATTTACCTGCTTTGTTTTAGGCCTGCCTTGTGACTACTTCGAAGAGAAATTGGCAAATGGCCCAGATGTTTTCTCATATATTTATCTCAAAGCTACACACCCTCTCAGGACTCTCTCGAAGGCTGTCGCTGCTCTCTTACAAACCACAAAGTTCCAAAATAAAGTAAAAACAAAACTTAAAAGGTCATCATAGTAGACAGTAAGCTAACAGCCTTGAAATGTCACTCTAACTGACTTTTACAGGATGTACATAGGTAATTGAACAGCACAGAATTATATTGGCTGCAAGATGTCACAAAAAGGCAATGAGCAGTAACTCAAAACAGGAAGAAAAAATAAATGAACCTTCGACATTTCACTGATCCCTTTTAATTGAATGCACTCAGGTGCACTATATTTTTCAATCCACAGTACTAATTTCTGTGGAAGATTTTTGTCATGTCCAAATTTGTTCTCCATCTAGTTGGGAATCTCTTGTATAAGCAATTATTTCTTGTTTTTGTTCACTTAAGTTTGCGCTCATTCTTCAGGATTTGCTGGACTGTATAGGTGCACAACCTTGTTTTGCATTTGGCCATGACACTGTCAGACAGATTGTTCTACACAGATGCTGTAACAATTAGCTGGAGACTGTATGATGCAGAGGACTGTTGTGATCAAGTGTCGCTGATGTAATAGGAACTACTCCACTCTGAACACACACCCCTCTGGCGGAGGTTAGGAAAGAGGTAACTTCCCGATTCAACGTCCTATTTTGCCGATGGCTCTCTGCCGCTAGAGGTCAGACAAAGTGATTCCAGCTGAAGGCTACGCTACGCGGCAACCAAATCCCTCCGGAGAAGTCTGCACTCGCTGGACCGATTTAGCCTGGCTTTTCCCATGATTCAGAAGGAGCTTAACACATTGTTTTTATTCTTCATGCAATTCTAACCGAGTTGAACGCAGTGTTTTCCTGAAGCCTACTGCAGCAGAGACAGAAAAGGGTTGATCCAAGTCTGCTAAACTGAACCTAACCGTCGAACAATGGGGCCCCCAATCGCTGTTCGTCGAAGGAGCCGTTAGAAACCATGATTACCTGAGATTGAGACATGGAGCCGCAACAAAGAGGTGCAAGGAACTCACTATAGCTAAAAGGGAGATGTCCTATGTTACCGTGAGTTATAAAATGAACCCCCTTTGCAAAATCACCTGTTATTATTGCAGCCGATTGATCCAAATCTCGTCAGGGTTTATTTACATTTATCTGCTGCTATTATAAAGGACACTTTCAAATGCATGAAGCCTTAAACTGCGAACATCCCTCAGACTTTGAATGGACTCTTACACCCCTCTTCCCCTTTTATTTCTTTATACTTAATACTGTGTGATTGTATCTAATAAAGGTACCATTGTATTTTAATCCATGGTCCTTTGTGTTCATTTTACACAGTAAACGATTTATCACTCAGGCTGGACTTACTCTACTTTCAGTAGCATCCGAATGAACAGAGACACATTTATTTGGTTGGTGGTTAATAAAGTTGCTAATAGCCATAGTCTAAATTACTAAATTGGTAAAGGACAACTGGCTTTTTAACAGCCGGTTTCAGGAGTCCAACCTTTTAGGTAAGAGGCTAAAACCCTGGTCAGTCGGCAAATTACAGTTATAATCACTCAACTGATAACAATTAATAAGTTTTTCCCTTGATTTGTATTACCTATTAATAAACTAAAACTTCCAGTTCTAGTTATTTTAATATATTTATAATCTTCTGGTAAACTTTCGCAACAGAACCTTTGCAAAAGGTGGTTTACTTGAAGCAGCCCCCATGTTTCTTTTAGTTTGTGGTGATTGTCTTGCATAATAATGCATTATAGCTCATAGAAAACTGTTACCACCACTATACAGTTTATGTAAGAGCACAGCTGGTGCATACTGCAATGCTGTCTGCTCAGTAGCAGTCTCATTTATACAACTCTTGTGATCATAATGCATGTCCAAACCAGGCGCCTTTTCAGTTTAAAAGCATGTGATTTACATGCAAAGTCTACGGGGCAAAGGGTTGAGAGGTGCAGCGTTGAGTCTGAATGTCAGGAGAGGCACATCTGAGTGTTCTGGAGTTGGAGCATCCAGGCTTTCAACGCTGAAGTTCAGAATATTTAGTTTCCTACTGGACGCTGGAGCGTCGACCAATCAGAAAAGCTGAACCAGGAGTTTTTTTGGGGGGAGACATACACTACCTGCTAGCTGTTGTCGCTTCTGTGTAGCTTCTGAATATGAAAAATAAATAAATATCGAGGAGTTTAACTCCAAAGGTTAAAAAAAAAAAAAGCCGGAAGAATGGATTGTTATGTACACGGAAAGGAGAGCGAGCTCTGATCATTAATACTGCAACAAACAATAGCAAAACAGTTCATAACTACCAAAATTAACTAACAATGTTACAACCTGCTGAGAAATATTCAATTGTGTATTCTGTTACTTTCAGTTTTGACTGCAAATCTTAAAAACTACTTTAAAACCTTAAAATATTCACTTTCAGCTGCTACCAATGGCCGCTGAGGAGAGCTTTCAAGGGGGATTTTCAATGCTGCCAGGGAACATCCTGGACAGGTCACCATTCTTTTGTAGGGCGCGCTTTGAACAAGAACTACAGTACGTATTGTAGTAGGATCATCCTACTGAACTGAATACACAGATGATTTTTTGACGTTGACTTTCTTGCTTAAAAGCATGTCAAAACTATTTTTTCAACTCTTGAAAGTAAATAAAGCCAGGCTGCTCTTTAGCTAGAAGATACAACACAGAGCAGATAAACAACCAGAGTGCAGAGCATCCAAAGCATTGAAGAATCAAATCAATTTGACTAGTTTAATCCAGCATCTAAATTTCAGTGTTTAAGAATTTTTGATGCTTGAAACGATTATGGTGAAAGAGAAAAAGAGAAACTTACGGGTAGAAGAACTGAGTGCAGAACATGACAAGATTCTTCCTGCCTACAGCTATTGAAAAATACAACTGACTGAAAGAAAACCCAACAAAATGTAATTTCCCTTTGCGATGGATAAAGTATTTCTGAACTGTATTATATAAAGAAAAAGTAATTATGTTAATAATCAGTAGGTAAACTTCAGCTTTCAGCGCCTTCAGGAAGAGTAGCAGAGCAAGACTTAAAGCAGTTAGATTAAAAAATCTCTTTTCAAAGTAACAAACTACAACTTCGAAATTTTTGTACATATATAAAAAGCCAGCATGTTTAATGTTTTAAAAACACCACATTATGTAGGCAAACTCCTCATCCAAAACTGAAAATGTACTACTTTTCTATTGGTAGTACTTTTCCATCACATCATCTTTTTCTATTAACATTCTTTTTCAGTCCACAGTACATTTGCTCAAACTGATCCTTGAACTTGTGAATACACACATTCTGTCATAAATTCTCTTTTATTTTCTTGTGATGTTCTCCCTCTTGAGTAATGCAATGCAGCATAATTAAGATCAGGTCCATCTTCAGTCTGTTTAAAGAAATGCATTAGTTTTTTAATCTGTTCAGATGTGTTGTTTATGGCATTATCAAACAAATACATACATTTAGAGATATTACTTACGTTATTTACTTTTGAGCTGAAGTGGTTTCTTCTCTTGGAGGAAGAGCATTCTGTTAATTTGGAATAAAAGGATGCAATTTAATACATTTGAATTCAAGAAATTAAAGGAATTTTAACTTTAAATTTAAACAAACCTTTAAATTGCTCAGCTTGTGAGTTTTTTGTTCGAAAGCAGATCAACACTATATTACCGATTATAGAAATGGCCAAACAAATTATTATGACTACTGTAGCCACATTCACATTGAATGGATTTGTTTTATCTAAAAAAACAAGAAAAAGTATGTCATTTTTTTTCAATCAAACAAATTTCTTTATGATACTGTCCATTTTGTAGAACACCTCTGAAGATATATACAAATCATACCTTTTTTAATATGTATTTCATTAGCAAATAGTATCTGTCCACATGTGGCCACAGCACAGTGGTATGTCCCAGAATCAGAAGAGTTAATGTTCTTAGAGAAGTTATAAAAACATCTCTTCTGAGTGTCAGATCTAGTCTCACAATTGTAACTTCTTTTTGCATCCTTGTATATAATATCAGGGAAAGAAGTTTCTGATGTAGATCTGAACCAGAACACAGTTGGTTCTCCTGCACAAGTTTTGTTCTCAGAGTCAGAGAGAAGTGAACACTGCAGAGTCTCTGGGTCTGCTGGATGATCGTTGACTGCTGAGTGCTGAACAACAGCGTATGTCGATGTTTTACGAGCGCTTCCTAAGGGATGAGAATTAAAATAAAATTTTATTATATAATTGTTCAATATAAATAAACTTATATTATATCTAAAGTAGCAAATGGAGCAAAAAGACTATTTACACCAAATATGGTTAAAGACACCCTTTATTAAGTCACATTTTTTCAGGCAGATTAATCGATTAAACTCAATTTATTGTTATGTTTAATAGAGAGTTAAAGATTTTGCACTACATGAAATTCTGTAGCTGAATAATATGGAATTAGGTTTTATTCTATTTCTTTTTTTAAATCTACCTATATATATATTTATATGTGTATATATATATATATATGTATATATGTATATGTCTAGACACATATATATATACATACATATGTATGTATGTATGTATATATATATATATATATATATATTTATTTTTTTTATCCTATAAAACAGTACTTTCTTATTGTTGTTATTTACTTATGTTGATGGTTTTTTTCAGGGTTTAACATGGATTTATTTAATTTTCATACCCAGCTAAGACATTTAAATGTTAAAAACATTAGAACTAACACATAGACACCTTTTTTACCTTGATTACAGAGTGTCAAATACTATTTGAAATAAATATTTGTACTTTTCTTGAGCTTGGAGGAATAATGTCAAAAGTAGAATAACTTAGGATGTGTAATGTGAACTTAACAAAGTTTGTCCTTCAATTTGCATCGATTTCATATGTTGCTGAAATTCATAAAGCAATAAGAACATAAAATATGCATTTTAAATTTAATTGGACAAACAATTTAGTACCAGGATAACGATTTGTCCTCTGAATCATGTTTTATGTCCTCTGAATCATGTGACATATTACACATTGTTCAGCAAGAATCTGCTGGATTTCACTTAATTTGTGACCTAAACATTTTCTAAACAGCTGGAAAAAAAAAACTTATTTACCTTTTATTGATAAATAAGTCCCACTCCACATAGATTCAAGCGCATCCATTTGAGCACAGTGATACATCCCCTCATCTTCTTGAACTGTTGAGAAAATTGTGAGATTGCTTCTTTCCGCAGAGTGTGTTAAATGGAATTTTGAAGGAGAGAAATCTCGTCCATATTGGGGGCTTGTAGTTCTCTGCTGCAATAAGATTAAATTGAGAGTATTTCCAGCACTCTGTTTGTACCAGTAAAGCCATGTGTTGCTCTGATATGTCCTACTGAAAGCACATGTCAAAGTCACAGATTGACCAGGTTCAACTGTGACCACTGGAACCAAAGTATCTGGATTGTAGAGAACAAGCACATATGAAAAGTATATCAAATATTAAAAAGACAATAAAGACAGCAATACCCGAGGTTATGTGCATTTTGTTTTCTTCTGTCTAAATAAATAGTACTTACATCCTTGATGAAGAAATAAGAGTATGAGCCATAATAGATTCATTGTGACACTGTCCTTATTCTGTTACAGGACCTTTAAGTAACAAGGGGAGGTGTGGCAATCCCAACTCTCAAATGCACCTCATTGGTTTTCTCAATCAAAGGGCACTTCCTGTGTGTACAGTACAACGAGCCTTTACTTAGTTTTCTTCTTTTTTGTTGTTCCATACGGTGATATTCTTTTTGTTCTCTGAATTAGCAGGGGTTCTTTAGGATATGTATGATTTTACCCAGCAGGGGGCTGGATTAAACCACTCACACCAGCAGCATTTCGTGTTTTATATTCACCTTTAGTCAAAAAAGAGATCCCAGAGGGTTTAAATACATGTGTTTACTAAAATTACCAAAAATACCGAGGTATTATCCTTGCATACAGGACTAGTATGATTTGATTAGTCATATTTTTCTTGATGACCAAAATCTTTAAGAAATAAAGTAATATTTTTAATTTGTGCTCAGGTTTTCTATATCTGATATTTATATATCCTAATAATATAATTTAAATATACTATATGGATTCCAAAGGAAAATTTAATGTTGTTATGATTCTTATAGGTTTTATTCAACACTTAATAAAGGGTGTCTACAGACAGAAATAATCTTCTACAGCAGTCTGTCTGGCACCGGATAGGGAGAAGCCTTTCACTGAAGACACTCTGTTGTTATTTAGCAGTCTCCTGAGGAGAATGCTCAGGGTCCCCCATGATGTTCTTTATTAATATATATTATTTATATTTTCTTCTTTATAATTCCAGAGGAATTCTCAGACCAGATCCAATATTCTTCATCACCTTTTTGAGCTTCTTAAAATCATTTGTCTTGATGCTGCTACCCCAACAGATGATGGCAGAAGAGATCACACTATCCACAAATGACTTTTGGAAGATATGCAGCATTTTGCTGCTAATGTTACCCGTCAGCTGTGGATGGCCTGAGGATATATGACACAACAAATGGTGCTAGAAAAGAAGGGGCATACACATTAAGCTTATTTAAGCATAACAACAGTTTCATTCTTCCGCTACAAAATACCAAAGTTAACATATTTGATACAGCATACATCAGGTAGGACTGATTAAATGCAACCAATAGCTTTAATCTTTAGTCACAATCAAAAGATGAACAGAATGCCCTTAACAGACAGGAGGTGTTTTTTTTTTCTTTGCTTATATCTCCAATTTAACATAATTAATCTGAACACATAAAAAAAAACGATTTACAGATGGCTAGAAATAATTTGAAATCCAACATGATGTAAAACTTTTTTTTTAAATATTTTTATCCTAAACCTTTCTTGGTTATAGTAGTCAGCTTCTTCAAACATACGTTTGATCCCCATCACAATTAACCTATCTAATTTTAACTGTTTTTATAGTTATACAACAGAATGCAGCCATTACAATTCCACTGAAAAGTGTAATGATCCCTTAAATTTATTTATTTTTTTAAAGCTTTTTGTAAAGGGCTTGTAAATTCAAATCACAGCTGTGCTGCCAAAGCTCTTTTGGTTGGCACATAAAGGAGCTACTTCCCTGAGACAATGTGCCACCAGTGCCAACTGGAACTGTTATACCTAGAGGTCTACAATTTTATGCAGTTGTGGTTGACATGATGCAGAATAAATTTAATACAATGATTCTTGCCTATTGTCAAGCATTTCTTTGTTATTGCTATAAAAAAAAAAGCTATTATTTTCGAGGAGAGAAAAAATAATTGAGTCAGGTTTTAGCTACTGCATTTTCGGCTGTGTTACAGTCACACTACTTTTAAATTTTCAAATAGTAGAAGGTGTTAGCTTTTAAATGATGTATTACACATGTAATTTGGGTGTACAGTTCCATATATATATATATATATAAAACTGTACGCCCAAATTACATGTGTAATAATAATCTAATATATATTATAATCTAATATATATATATATATATATATATATATATATATATATATATATATATATATATATATATATATATAAAGTTAATGGGGTTGATCGAGCACAAGTGGTCATAACCAGCTATCTGAAGTTACTTTTTCTGAGGCTTTTACAAGCTTTGCTGTAGGCAGTGGCTGAGCTTGGAATGTAAAACTGGGCGGTACAAGCATATTTGGGGTGGTATTATAATGGACGTTCAATGTTCTATCAAAAACAATTTTACACACACTGTATGCAGATAATTTACAATGAGATTATAAATGATTTATTTTCCAAAAAGCAACCAACCAATTCACCCAACAGAACACAAGAAGAAGCTGTTATCAAATAAAGAATTTGTGAAGTAAAAAAATATTTTCGGTTATTTGCCTGAATTGTAAGTTCAGTGGCTGTGGACACTTTTCTTACGCCTTTAGATGGTGGCATTCAGTTGTACACACTTAAATTTGATTTGCAATATAACATACTAAGTGCTTTACCGTGTAACTGCCTAATTATTTAGCTTTCTGGTTTTAATTTCAGTGATCAAAACTGCTTATTCCCTGTTGTCCTAAAAAACCATTGATAGAATGTAAAAAAACAAAAATAATTAAAAATAAGGTTCCTTTGTTTGGTTTAAAATACAATGCAACAAATGACAAATAATTACCCTGTGGGCCTACTGGATTTGTTTTTGATTTCAAGGCAAAAACACTGTTTCTTTTGGTATTTTTTTTTTTTTTTTTTTTTTACAACATTCTGAAACTACAATTAGACAAAATATAACTCTTCTGAAACAGTTCCATCCATCCATCCATCTTCCTCCGCTTATCCGGGGTCGGGTCGC